ACAGATATTTTTTTGCCTCTAAATTTATAATTATTTTCTGACTGCATTAGAACGATAAAAATATCACATGTCTTCTCTGACATCTAATAAAAACTAACATAAAGTTCATGTCATTTAATTGATAGATTCTTAATTAATTAATTGTGAAATTTTTAATTTTCTTGTTAATTCTCATGATAATTCGAATAAAATTTGAAGGTCATCATATCCATAGTGTAAATTTCACATCACATTCCGGTTAAAAATTTCACGTTTCATTGAGAGAAAATTGCAATACTTTAGCAAACCGTGTTCACTTATAAATAATTTTATGTCCAAATAGTAAGAGTTTACTCGATATTTGGAAAACTTTTATGAAAGCTCATTCGTTAGAAATGAGTTTACATCAACAAATTCGATAGCTTTTCAGCAACTTCAAAGACATCGAATTTCAATTCTAGTTGATCGATACAAAAATACCTTCTTTATATATCTCTGCACCAGCACTAACTTTTGGGCATAATTCAATCATAATTAAATTTTAACATTATTTAATGACAAAATTACTGGAAACCGAAGTCGTTTCTTAACTCACAAACAATTGCGTGAACCAAAGTACTCTACTTAAAAGACTTGAAAATGATCATTTGTACTCATTTTCCTCTGGTTCTTCACACCCGCAATTCCAAGTATTTAAGCACATTCCTGAAGCGACCGCTTAACAGTGGCGTTCACCGCACTCATAAACCACTTCAAACTCGCCAGGTTCATAACACAAGACAACAACGACAACGCGGCGACGGCGTTCGATCAGACTGAAATCAAGGTACGGGGCAGAGTGTGCTCGTCGCACCCTGTAGGTAATGCTGCTTTGCAACATCAACTGCTAAGCCTGTGATGGCTGGACTACCATAGTGCTGCTTAACTAGCGTCAGCAGCAGCAGCAGCAGCGGCAGCTGCGCCACTTATATTCATTCCAGTTGGTCTCATGCACCTCTGCCAAACGGCAGCTCTGTATAGCTTAGACTGGACGGCTTGACGAAAGCAGCACACGTATGTTATCGACGCTGCTCGGCTAGGCCGCTCGACACTCGCACGCATTCACATGAAATATCAGCTTCGGGTGGCCGACGGCTGATCGCCTTTAATTTTTGCACGGGATTTCGATGGTGTTGGATTCTTATGCCTTTTTCTTTTGTTCTACCCATACTGACAAAGTTTTTTTATAGGCTTTTTGAGTAGACTGTGTCGATATAGTTGATGGTTTTTCTGCATTAACTCATAGCTCTACTCAACTGATTCTAATACTCACTATACTTGACCTTCGGCTTTTTGGTAGCCGCTAGCAAGTAAGCGATCGATAAGTTAGTTTCAATTGTTTTTGTTTTAAAATAATTTTCTTGTCGTTTTTTTGCATTAGTTGCATCCTGACTCTAATTTTTTCATCCACGGACACATTAGATATCTATTGTTACTTTTTAAGGCAAGTCGTAAGCTTTATTCAGACATCGCTATCAGTATAAACTTTATTACAATTCAGGCATTTATTGTACGGGATGAACAATCTGATGTCTTAACGACATTCTATTTTATTGTGAAATTTTTTATTATATTATTGATTGCGGGAACAGAGATTGCTATGCCGGTTTCAAAAAATTTCGAGTGAACTTTACCTTGCAAATTTAGTTTATGCAAAATAAATGATTAATTTGTTATCACAAAAACAATACAAAAAGCTCAATTATCTACAATTAAATAGAGCTGATTTACAGCTTCAATTTCTATTTTGTGTATTACCAATCACAGCTACGGTGTAGCAGTCTTTTTGTCGGTAAAATGCTTACAAATTTCTACAAAACTTATTATTCACATCACGTATGTATAATAATAATTTGTATAATTTGTGGCCTAACCTTTGGAACTTTAGTCAGTGCGATGACTTGAAATAAATCAATGCTCTATTTTTCCATTCATTTCGTCAATTATTCTCGATTAGTTTGGACAATATTCAGAATCGTAGTTATATAGCTGACCTTTAAATTCAATATTATTTTCTGGATGCTTATAATTTTATACGAAAATAATAAAGGTTTTTGTACGCATTTTAAAAATTATACACTTCTGTAATATATTGCGTCAATTCCTATGTCCTCATTTCCGATCTATGCGATTTAGGCTAAAATATGCCAATATTAACAATCACAAATTTAGCTAATACTAAAATGAAGTATGCACGTGCGTCACCCTTCAATAACAATTTAGTAAACATCGGTAATCCGAAAAATTATATTAATGATTTAAACTTAAGAAAAAATTTACCGAACAGTGCCTTGAATCCATTTACTATTTTATTAGTAATTATGGCCGAACTGATGTTTAAAAAAAACTGATGAAATGGAAAAACTGGAACTGATGTTTAAAAAAAACTTCGTAGAAGTCTGACTGATGTTTCCATAAATTCTTAGTGAAGATCAAATGATGTTAAAGTTTATGGCCGGAATCCAACTTTTTTTTAAGGAAAAACACTGTTTCGACAGCAGTTTTATGAAACTTGGTTTCCGTAAGCCAAGAATTTTTTTGGTGTAGGTTTCTCGAATTCCGGTTACGAGCCTGATGAAAAAAATCCCCCTGGCCGTATCATGGCGCGGCGGCCATCACTTCATTACATTAATTTGTGCGGATGAACAAAAAGGCCTACAAGAGTCATTAATAAGCCTCATAATTGGTAGCTTTGAGGGCTTGTTGACATGCACTTCATCATGCAATATCTACGATGAATTGATGCGCTCAATACGCACCAAAACTTCTCTAAATATTTGTACAAAAATTAAAACTCGCTTTGCAATTTTTGCGGTAAATTTTCTACGTTTTTATCGAGTAAACTTAAAATCGTTGCGAAGATTTCTTCGAAATTTATACGGCCTGTAATATCTCTTCCAAATTACTGTGATTAAACACTAGATAAAGTTCCTCTGGAAATGAAAGTCCATTTTGTGTATTGCCTACAAAAACATCAACCGCCTAGTATAATTTTAGTGCAATAAATACGGCGCTGTAGAGCGTACCATACAGTGTATATTTTCATCATTGAAACTAAGCGAAAATTTCTCGTTTTATTGTCTGCGTAAACCTCGCGATTTCTGTGTTATAAATATCTAAATATCTGAAAAATTAACGAAATGGATTGAAATAACTGTCTAAATACTGAAATTTATCCTTTCAGTATCCATATAGATATAGAAAATTATCCATTGACGTGTTTAATTGATCCGAAACATTTTAAACTTCTTTAACTTTAAAAAGGGACATGATAAACACAATAGTAAGTGAGGAAAGATGATATTTGTGCCTCAAAATCTTATGAGGCCAAATATCCCCGATTATTTTATTTATTTGCTGTATTCTTGCCCTGCATATGGGTGACTATATATATGTATTCCTCTCATTGGTTTTGACTTAAGCGTTTCTGCCTCAGTTTGTCATAAGTTCAATAGATTATAGTCACAATTATTTTGATGATTTAGCTATATACTTAGCGGAAATATCAGTTCAGGATAAAGTTATCTGCCTCTTTTTCTTAAAACATTCACTGTACTCTCAAAATCATTTTTAATATATACATTAGAATCTAATATCAAGATTTTTTACATTTTTTAGTATTGTAAAACATCCAGATGGCGAATAATGTTAAATATAATACCATTATTAAAAATGGAATAATACATAATCAGAATTATACTGAATAATGAATTACTATAATGCCCTTATTATTAATGGAATGCAATGCAAGAGTATAATTTCAAAATTTTCCCCAGAGGACACTCCCAATTTCCTTGTATATTCAATTGCAGTAGTGTATATATTATAATTGTTTATAACACTATTTCATGCAAGCCTAAAGCTATGAGTCAGTCTAAAAAACACATTTATGATGTTAGGAAAATGAGTATAATTATTTAATTCATTTCGTGTGTTTTCTTCTATATATGCAGGATCAAAAGTATCGCCTGTGTTTATATAGAACGAAAATGATTCCTTCTCCTTCAATTAAATCTAGTTTAATCTTACTCAAATTATTATGAGTAAGCTCAATATATACTGTAGTAATTATATATCAATATTATGTTATTGCATAACCTGGCACATGGTGTGTTAGTTTTAATACTGATAAAAAGTTATACGTGAGCTTGCTATCATAGTACGAACATATTTATTTTGTAACGAAACTGTTAAATTCGAACGGATTACATATGAGCTCTTTTTTCAAAGCTATTTGATCAAATAAATACACGTATAAGAAATTTGTGAAGCGAATAGTTAGAGTATTCATCGACATTTTACTACAATACATGATGCAACTATTATATGCGATTTGTTATTAAGTGTATTAAAAATTTTTCTTAAAATTGCTAGTGTTGCAGTATCACTGCTTCTTTCCATTAATTTCTGTTCTAATAATCTGATCCTATATGAACACAATCAGTATTATCTTGATATTTTTTTGTGTTGCTGTTAGCGACTCAATTATTACTTTAGTGTATAGTATATATATAATTTCGTAATCAGTTTACACACCTGAATAGTTGTAATATTTATTATGAAACGATATTTTGGAAATAAAATTTATACGTTTATCATAGTTGAAGTTTTAATGCGAATTTATTTACTTTCATTTAATGATGCATATCCTTTAAGTGTTGGAAATTAGAGTTACATTTTGAACAAGTTTTTTATCCTAAATATTTAACCAGAATGTTTTAATTTTAAGTCGCAACTTTTATGTTGGAAAATAATTACCTCGTTGAAGGATTACTTAACCAATTTGAAATTCGAATAGAATAGAAGGATGTTATTGACCATTACCCTTCCATCCTGTTAAGAAGATGGTCCTATCTGCCGGTATTTGTTTCTATCTTATTTCTGCATTCATATTTGTTTGACATATATAAGAACAAATATATGAGCTGTTTGACATATATAACGACAAATATATGAGCTGTATAAAAATATTTTATACTCACAAGCGAAGTGCCCCTGTGATCGGACGGGTAGAGCTCCGTCCTCGCCGCCAGGTTCAGGTCAGTAAGCATCATTGGTGAAATTTCTTGTCCGTGTTCACGCTGCGATCCGCGAGCGAATTCACTTTCGATGAAAATCAAGGCACTCAAAATTTCGAAGCCTGCCTCAATAACGAAGTTTAGTAAGTAAGCTTACGCGCTCGTAGAAGTTTCAGCAAATTACCGATAGGTACTTAAGCAATTTCATGAAAATGTCCTCTGTGGCTGTGAAAAATATCACCGGCGGTTGAATTATCATTGGATTGAAATGATTTTCAACTTGGTTCGAGATGTATGGATATTATCGAAAAACGAGTGGGTCAAAGAAGAGGTCAAAAGTGTAATGAGTGGGGTTCGTCCCGTGATTACAGTTGTTAGGTTGCTTGATTACCAAGTGGTGTTCGCAATCACCATACTTAGGCATCGACAATGGTACCACGACAACCACACCACTGAAGCTACACTGATCGCCAACAACTTATTACCCCTCGGCCACGGTCGCTGGGAGGAACCAAGGCCCAAAAGGCGGAACAGCTCTGCAGGAGGCGGGAATATGTGTTAGAAAGGCTGGACTAGACTTGGCCATCTAGCCTTTCATTCATGGAAGAGTAGTATTGCAAAATTTTTAATATTAATTCAAATTTTAAGACATTTTAAGTTTAGTAATCCTTTACTTGTAAAAGCGTATTTATTGATGCTATAGTTTGTTTATAACAAAACTCCGAAACGATTTTATGGTTTAAATTTAAGATTTTTCTCTGAAATTAAATTAAAATAGCTAACCTGTAAACATGAGTTTGAAAGGGAGGAGTTCCTCGTGAAGAGGTTGGCATGGTTTGCAGTTTTCGAAGGATTTGCGACGAGCGTCTCTGCCGAACTTTGGGAGGAGTTGAAGATGATAATGTCAGAGATTGGATGCAGATTGTGTCGTACTGGTCAAGAGGGAGGGAATGTTACAAGAAAAAACATAGATTTAGTTGATGAAGGCGGAGTTTGCGGTCATCAGTTTAAGAACTCTAGCAAGCGAGCTTTTGACCAGCTCGAATTTTAGGCATATGGCAATAGTCAAGACTTCTTGGTGACCACAACTTCACTTATGCATCATAATTGACTGTCCTTTAAGGCAATTTCTACGGACGACCTCGACCACAAACCGGCCGCCAGCATGGCCACATTCTGATCAAAATTGTGGTGTTTGGTGATCTGCAGATTAGATGATATAATGACCTTAAAAACGAAACAGGGTCCGGGCATTATGCTAAATTAAGCCGAGGTACCAAATCTCGATAATAAGTCAGCGCTACATGCTGCTCCACTTTTTATTCAAGCCACAACGCGAGGGAAGATAAAATTTACAGTTCCGACGTTGCTTCAATTTTCATTACAGGATATGATAGGAATCGAGCACAGCAACATGGGCGCTACGGTGCGAAGAAATATCATGTTTGCAATCAATTATTTGTCATATTTTAGTTACAAGCTAAATTACGCCGGAAGCGTGGTTTCGAACATAATATATTGTAAATAATAAAATATTCTATTTTCATGCTGTTACGTTAACATAGACGAATACGAACAGTACGAGTACGTATTCGTCTATGTACGAATACGAATAATTCAGGGGAGATTTAAATGAAAATAAATATTGTTTATAACATGATTTGGAACGTGAATAAACGTATTGTTGAATAAACGTTTCATGTGAATAAACGTATTGTTTATTCACATGATTTAGATATTATTGATCTGATTATCTTTTTCTTACTTAAGATAAAAGTTCACCAAACTGGTTTTCATGCAAATGAATAGATTGTTTAGTCCAAACATGCGTATAATTAAGTGCATCAAGAAACGCTTTTGACGGAATGTCCATGTTCTACACTTGATTAAATTTTAATTATTTAAAATCAGTTTCATTCATTATATTAATTTACAGACAACAACAGTTCACAACAATAGATTATAGGGTCACGTTAATTACATGCACATAAGCTTCTTGAACAATTTTTTCGACCGACGCTTCCAAACGTAGAATTAATGGTCTTATATGTTGGTATAGGAATTCTTTTAAACATCAAAGCTTCAACCTATACGTATATGTTAGCTAAAACTTTTAGCGCTCGCTATGATCGCATTTTTCTCATGTCGATCTTCAGTCTATTACCGCTCTTTACTTAATTCAATCTAAATGTCCACCTTGAATCATTTTAACTTTTATTCATTAATATTGCACGTATGATAGTTCCTCATGCAGCATTCCTGCCTTGATTAGTTTCGTGCACCAAAAAATCAATTTCAAATTGAAACATTTCAACGTAGATTCATTGATTAAATCTTTAATAGTTTCTAAGTATGATTTCGGTACTGGGAAAATGCTGATTATTTGCGCGGATTGTCCGGATGGTTCTTAATATAGTCGTGCACAGCATATACAGTATATCTACTATATGTATACGAGCATTGACGCCATCTTCGAAATCACTGATATTATTTACGTTTTAAATATTTCTAGTATTCTAAATATCCTAGTGTTCAAACTATTACAGACTTCCAAATTAAGTAAGTTAGTGCCTGTCTTTTCAACATTTCAACATAAAATCAACCTACAGCTGTAATGTATTGCGCATATCTGCACACATATGACAGAATAAAGGCCGTCGAAGAAATAACCAAGTTTTTTCGATGTTTCTCTACTCCTAAATATTACCTTCATGTATATATTTCTGAAATTTTAATTTACCTTTTCAGCTGCATTTATTAAGGTTGATTTTATAGTGAGTTTCATATTTCTTGATGATGAATTTGGTAGACTTAACTAACACAATCATTTTTCATCATTCATTTCACTATCTCATGCCTGGGATGATTGAAGTACAAAGGGTATATAAGAATTAAACTCGCCTCCATAAACGCCTAGCTACTAAACATTTCATTTTATTTTATTTTCCAAATTAACAGTTGCTCATTATTCACGTAAGTTTAACTATATCTTTTAAGTAAATACTATTTGATCGGAATATGTTTTTCTTGGCAATCAGCACTGCGATATACGTAGTGTGAGTCGCTATATATATTTAGTGAAAATCAGGCTTTCTATTTTGAATATTTCATCAAATAAATTAACCTCGTCCATCATTGTATTGAAAATGTTATGTGACATTAATCATTTCTCTGCTAAATCTTATTTGCTGAACACAATCTTACTTCCATTTCCTATCACAAATGACTATATAGCTACGCGTTGAAATTTATTATGAAAATCTCGTAATGTTATCAAAATTTTTAAAAATCCTCCGAAACCACCGTAAATGAAATAAAAGCTTTTAAATAATGAAAAATTCTCTACCATAAAATTAATTGAATAGTTTTTGCAATTTTTTGAAAATTTCACGAAATTTTTGTAAGACTGTCAATCGCATAAGAGTTAAGAAACGAAATTTATAGGCTGAAATCTGGAGTTGCTTTCAACAAGCGTTGCATAGTCAAGTTTATAAAAAAACGTTTGGCATGACTTTAGCATCAGTACAAGGTGGGGTATTGCTGCTAGACGAAAAGACAAATTTTTGTTCTCTGATTATTTATTTCATTGTATGTTTTGCATTATATTTTTCCGTTACTTTTTTTGCCACTAACTTAAGCGTTGTTGCGGCACGCGTGCTACCACAATGTCTACATGGCGACCACCCCACAAAGCCTAGCTTATATGATCTGCTAGCTTCGGTAGTATGGTGAACTAGAAAAAAAAACAGTGATAAGAAGGAAAATATTCGGAAAAAATAATGTGATATGATTATTGGAATATTATCTCTACAAAAAAATATTTCACCAGCATAAATTAGCAGAACAGAATATAAATTCTAAAGCAAGGAGAATATTTGTTTTGCAAAATATCAATTTAAATAATCAATATTAAATGTCAAGTAAAATGAAAAATTAAAATAAATTAGAGAAAGTACTTTGTTCACGTATACATCATAACGATTATTGTATTTTTTTATTTCCGCTATAAAAATCTCTTGACATTTTCTGTCATGCATCTGCAGCAGTATAGTCTTCATCTTCGTACTTTCACTGCTTACATATTATGAAACAATAAAATCTGTAACAATTTAACCTCACTGCACTGATAGTCATTTTTCGACCTACCCGTTACCATTTTCTAGATATTAAGTCAGGCCAATAATTTGAGTCTTATCTCACTACATCGTTACGTCGCTGTAATTGAAAATCTATGCCATGACAAGCGTAAGTTTACGACTGTCTTATCATCAATTATCAATAGTTCGGTTTGTGTCAACGGTGCTATCAACAAACTGGTCTGGGAGTCTCCCACGCGTCACAAATCAATCAATTACAAAGCATCCGCGTTGTATCTAAAGCCAAACTATAACCCGCATTTGGCCAGCGTTCGTCAATGGGACTATGAATTTAATGGTTCATTTCACCCACGTTTTTGTCACGCTTGTTTTTGATCCTATTTTGTTCCCCTTCTGCAGTGAGTCGTCTTCGTCTAAACAGATTTTTTCCGAAACTACTTCATGGTTTATGTTGACTATTTCATCGTAATTCATTTACATCAGCAGGGCAATGGAAAATTTTCGTTCTCTAAAAAATTTCATAGAGTTTCAGACTGCTTCACTCAGTGTGACATGAAAATTCAATGAAATATAATAAGATGTGTGCAGGTTAGCACAGCCCATTGAAACTAACTAAACTAAACTAAACTAAACTAGAGAAGAGTTTAGAGAACTAAAAATTAGAGAAATCCTGATACGATTAACTTGCAAAAAACCTCCTAACCAGTTTTTTGCAATCAACTTTGAAAAATAATTCAACTTGTTCCAAGCGATGAATTTGCATCAACCAGCGATCAAGTTTTGAATTGCTCAACTGGAAACAATAACTTGAACAGTTTTGAATTATTCAACTTGGGAGAATAACAACCAGAGTTGAAGCAGTCAACGTAAAAAAACAGATAAGTTTTGTCAGCTCAAACATTGCGAAATTTTTGCACACAAAAAAATTTAACTCTATCACTAAAAAGTTGCACATGTCATAATAGCCGTTTTTCTTGCTCATACGTTTTTGTATCTAAGAAAATATTAAGTGACCTCATCTTGGTGTTTAGTTTGTCACATACTTCACTAAGTTTTTTTGAGACTGTGCTCGGAAGCTAGGATTCGTTAGTCAAACAATATAGTTCATTTTGGATTTAGTTATGTTACCATGAAAACTCTGGAATTATAGCGTATTTGATCAGAGTTTGATTTTAGATGACATTATTTTATATATAAATTTGTCAAAGTGTGTGTATTTGAAGCCTGTCACCCCAAATATGCTGGAGATGTTGAGGTTCGTATCCACATACTTATCGTGTAGAGATATTACAAGAACCTAAAATTTTATTCTTCAAAGAGGAAGGATCAGAGAAAAAGAACTTTAGGATGGGATCTTTACATGAAA